CCCTAGGCCGTCATGAGCATCTTCGGCAACAATGGCAAGGGCAAGGGCAAGGGCACCCCCGGCGCCTCGTCCTTCCGTGCTCCTCCTCCCCCTCCACCGCCAGCGTGTTTTCGCCCTGAACGCTGGTGCCTGCACATCCCGGTGCACCAAGCGCAGTGGCACTGGGAGTACAGGCAGCCCCTCCCCTACCCCGACGTGACGCTGCCGCATCATTTGCACTTGGATCCCTAGCGGATCCCGGTGCAGGCGGTTCCGCAGAGCTAGCGGGCGCACGACGACGAGGTGCGCCGGCGCCGCGCGCAGCTCACGCCGGAGCAGTGTCGGCTGCCCGAGTATGCCGTCGACTCTCCCAACTTGGAGACTTGGTTCGCCCTCAAACACGAGGAGCAACGACGCTCGGGTGTCGACATCGTCCCACCGCCGTTCCCACCGCCGCCCCCGCAGGTACAGCCGGAAGATGACGAGGCGGAGGCGGAGTACCAGGCCGCCCTCGAGGAGGCCCTGCAGCAGGCGCTGGAGGCTAGCCGCCTCGAGGAGGGCGCGTGCTGGGATGGGCTGAAGCAAGCCCCCGCCCTGTCGACGGCGGGGGACTCCGTCCACTCCCCGTTGTTCGTGCCGCCACCGCCACCATCGCCGCCCATCCAGCCCAAGCCGGAGCCGACGCGGAAGCGCTCCCCGCCTCCACCCACTTGGCCGGAGGAGGCCTACTCATGGACGGGCCAGTACCGCGAGTGGGTGAGCGTGCCTCCCGTCCACTTCGCAGCGACGCCGAATGTGACGCCCGGATAATCAAGCTACAGTGAACCTATGCTAATGATGCCACGTCACCTCTGATTACTGTTCCAAATCCGCGTTAGTTCAAACGATTCAAATTTGAATTTGAATTTAAGTCAAACGATAAAGGTTTTCAAATTTTAAAAACTAAAATGTTCGGGTTGTGCCAAATATTGCATAAATAATTTTGGTGGAGAATCCACATTTTTATAAAGTATTTAATTGCACTGAAATAAATAAAATAGTAATACAAACAAATATTTAAATGCCTTTTTCAATTAATAGAATATTATGCTAATTTATTTTATT